GGTATGAGTCTTTTTCATTTTAGATATGGTAATAGATGTAATAGTATCTCATTATGGTTTTGTTTGCATTTCCCTAATTACTAATGGTGATGAACATCTTTTCATGTTCATCTTTTCTTATTTGCTATCCATATGTTTTTGGTAAAGTGTTCATGTTTTCCCCCATTAAAAAAATTGGCTTGTTTTCATATGTGTGTATACACACACACACACACACACACATATTTTGCATATAAGTAATTTATCAGATACATGTTTTACAAATATTTTCTCAGTCTCTGGCTTGCTTTTCATTCTGTAAGCTGTGTTTTTAAAAAATTTTTTGATTGAGGTATCTGTGGACTGAGGAGCCTAGCCATTTTTTCACTGGATCATGCTTTTGATCTTCTATCTAAGAAAGGTTTCTCCTAAGTTTTCTTCCAAAAGTTCTGTAGTTTTAGATTTTAAATTTAGAACTGGAAAAGGATAGGAAATGCTTTCCTTCCCTCCTTTTGATCAGTCTGGATAGATTTTCTTGAAGATAATCCTTGGTTTCATTTCTTTTTCTCTATTGCTTTCTCTTGTCTCTCATTGATTTTTGTTCTAATTTTTATCATTTCATTTCATTTTGTTCTAATTTTTTATTATTTCATGGCTGTTTAATTTGGATTTCATTTGCTCTTTTTTTCGAGTTTTTTTAAGGTGTAATCTGAAGTTGTTTATTTGAGACTTGCTTCTTTTTAATGTGGGCATTTTCGTGCTATAAGTTTCCCTCTAAGTACAGTTTTAGTCACATCCTACAGATTTTGGTATTTGTGTTTACAGTTTCATTCAGTTGAGAATACTTTTAAATTTCCATTTTGCTTATTCCTTTGACTTTTGGATTATCTAGAAGTGTATTATGTAGTTCCCAAATGTTTGGGGGATTTTCCAGATATTGTTGTACTGTTGCTTGTAATTTAGTGCTGTTGTAGCCAGTGAACGCTGTATGACTTAAATCTTTTTAAATTTGTTAAGACTCTGTTTCAATGCTGAGAATACAGTCTATCTTGGTAAATGTTCCAAGTGTACTTGAAATGAGTATGTAATACTGCTGTTAGTGTTGGGCAAGTTTTATATAAATGTCAGATCAGTTTGGTTAGTGTGGTTCAGATCTCCTGTATCCTTATTTTCTATTAATTTCTATCAATTATTTAGATAATGAAATATCACACTCTATTTTGTAGATATATTTGTTTCTCCTAGTGTTAGATTAGCTTCTTGTACTTTGAAGTTCTGTTATAGATAAATAAATGTTTAGGATTATTGTGTCTTCTTGATGAACTGACCTTTATCATGGTAACATTTATCCTCTTTATCTCTGTTAGTATTCTTTCCTCTTCTTTTTTTTTTTTTTTTGTATAGTTCTCCTGTGTATTCTTGCCTCCTCTTCTTAATATCTTCTGCTTCTGTTAGGTCCATAGTATTTCTGCCCTTTACTGTGCTCATCTTTGCATGAAATATTCCTTTGGTATCATTAATTTTCTTGAAGAGATCTCTAGTCTTTCCCACTCTGTTGTTTTCCTCTATTTCTTTTCATTGATCACTGAGGAAGGCTTTCTTATCTGTCCTTGCTATTCTTTGGAACTCTGCATTCAAGTGGGTATATCTTTCCTTTTCTCCTTTGCCTTTCGCTTCTCTTCTTTTCACAGCTATTTGTAAGGCCTCCTCAGACAACCATTTTGCCTTTTTGCTTTTCTTTTCCTTGGGGATGGTCTTGATCCTTGCGTCCTGTACAATGTCATGAACCTCTGTCCATAGTTCTTCAGGTACTCTGTCTATCGCATCTAATCCTTCGACTTTGTCACTTTCACTGTATAATCTTAAGGGATTTCATTTAGGTCATACCTGAATGGTCTAGTGGTTTTCCCTACTTTCTTCAATTTAAGTCTGAATTTGGCAGGAAGGAGTTCATGATCTGAGCCACAGTCAGCTCCTGGTCTTGTTTTTGCTGACTCTATAGAGCTTCTCCATCTTTGGCTGCAAAGAATATAATCAATCTGATTTCGGTGTTGACCATCTGGTGATGTCCATGTGTAGAGTCTTCTCTTGTGTTGTTGGAAGAGGGTGTTTGCTATGACCAGTGCGTTCTCTTGGCAAAACTCTATTAGCCTTTGCCCTGCTTCATTCTGTACTCCAAGGCCAAATTTGCCTGTTACTCCAGGTGTTTCTTGACTTCCTACTTTTGCATTCCAGTCCCCTATAATGAAAAGGACATCTTTTTTGGGTGTTAGTTCTAAAAGGTCTTGTAGGTCTTCATAGAACCGTTCAACTTCAGCTTCTTCAGCATTACTGGTTGGGGCATAGGCTTGGATTACCGTGATATTGAATGGTTTGCCTTGGAAACGAACAGAGATCATTCTGTCATTTTTGAGATTGCATCCAAGTACTGCATTTCGGACTCTTTTGTTGACTATGATGGCTACTCCATTTCTTCTAAGGGATTCCTGCCCACAGTAGTAGATATAATGGTCATCTGAGTTAAATTCACCCATTCCAGTCCATTTTAGTTCGCTGATTCCTAGAATGTCGACATTCACTCTTGCCATCTCCTGTTTGACCACTTCCAATTTGCCTTGATTCATGGACCTAACATTCCAGGTTCCTATGCAATATTGCTCTTTACAGCATCGGACCTTGCTTCTATCACCAGTCACATCCACAACTGGGTATTGTTTTTGCTTTGGCTCCATCCCTTCATTCTTTCTGGAGTTATTTCTCCACTGATCTCCAGTAGCATATTGGGCACCTACCGACCTGGGGAGTTCCTCTTTCAGTATCCTATCTTTTTGCCTTTTCATACTGTTCATGGGGTTCTCAAGGCAAGAATACTGAAGTGGTTTGCCATTCCCTTCTCCAGTGGACCACATTCTGTTAGACCTCTCCACCATGACTCGTCTGTCTTGGGTGGCCCCACACAGCATGGCTTCATTTCATTGAGTTAGACAAGACTGTGGTCCGTGTGATCAGATTGGCTAGCTTTCTGTGATTATGGTTTCAGGGTGTCTGCCCTCTGATGCCCTCTCACAACACCTACCGTCTTACTTGGGTTTCTCTTACCTTGGACAAGGGGTATCTCCTCACGGCTGCCCCTCCGCCCCTCAGATTGGTTAGTTTCCTGTGATTGTGGTTTTCAGTCTGTCTGCCTATTGATGGAGAAGGTTAAGAGACTTATGGAAGCTTCCACCATAGTTTGGCCCCAGGTAAGTAACAGAGAGGGAACACAGCTCCACCCATCAACTGAAAATTGGATTAAAGATTTACTGAGCATGGCCCCGCCCATCAGAACAGTCCCAGTTTCCCCCTCAGTCAGTCTCTCCCAACAGGAAGCTGCTGGGCTACAGTCCATGGGTTGCAAAAGTCAGACATGACTGAGTGACGCACTTAACTGATTCTTATAATTAAGCATATATGTAATTAGCAATAAATATTTATAAGTATTTACTCAAGGTAAATTAAACTGTGTTTACAGAGACGTTTGTATTCTAACATTTATAGCAGCTTTATTTATGAGAGCTGAGAACTGAAAACAAATCTGCATCAGTGGATGAATGGGTAACAGATTTTGGTATTATCTCTGTAAAGGTAGACTGTGTGTCTGTGTGTGTTGTGTGCATGTGCACGCACGCATGCGCTCAGTTGAGTCTGACTCTTTGTGACCCTGTGGACTGTAGTCTGCCAGGCTCTTCCGTCCATGAAATTTTCCAGGCAAGAATCCTGGAATGGTTGCCATCTCCTATTCCAAGGGATCTTCCTGATCCAAGGATTGAACCCTTGTCTCTTGCATCTCCTGCGTTAGCAGGTGAATTCTTTACCACTGTGCCACCTGGGAAGCCCATAATGGTATGTTACTTGGTAATAAAAAAGAGTGAATATGATATGATATGAGTCTTAAAAATGTTATGTTGAGGGGAGGCAGCCAGAAACAAAAATAGTTTGTATGTGATTCCTTTTATATGAAATTTCAAAAAAGCCCAAACTAGTTAATGGTGACAAGAACAAATCTGTGGTTGTCTGAGCCTAGAGATGGAGGCAGGAATTTACTGCAAAGGGCATGAACCCGCTTTTTAAAAAAAATTTGGTTGACATAAAATATTATGTTAGTTTCAGGGAGACCTGGGTTTAATCCGTGGTTTCGGAAGATCCCCTGGAGGAAGGCATGGCAACCCACCTTACCTGGAGAATCCCATGGACAGAGGACTCTGGGCGGCTGTGGTCCATGGGGTCGCAGTGACTGAATAATTAAACACACTCACAGTCTCCTTTAGTGTGGCCCTTGACTGTCTTTCCAGCTTACCTTCTGTTACAACACCCGGCCTCTCACTTTGCTTATGACCCTTGTTTCCCAACACTAGCCATGTTAATCTCATTTCTTTTGGCTATATGCCTCTCTTCCTCCAGCCTCTTGTCTAGTTTACCCTTTAAAACTCACCTCAGGACTCTGCCTCCAGAAAGTCTTCATTTATTTATTAAATTATCCTTCTTCACATGGTTCCTCTCCAAGAAAGAGAAGTACTCTGATGGTGTTTCTTTGGTTCAGTCATAGCTCTTAAAGGTACAGTTACCATTTTGGCTTGTGTTTCTAGTCCTTTCTCCCCCACTAGATTGTGTACTTGTTGAGCACAGTGATTATATTTTATTTATGCTTTGGATCCACAGGCCTGCTTTATAATAAGCGCTTAATAACTTGCTGAAGGATTGACTATAAATGTTAAGTGAGAAAAGGAGATAAAAGGGCACATGGAGCGATTATTACTGCTTTGTTTTAAGCAACACTTTTTGCACAGAAAGCAAAATACTGGGAAGATTTATATCAACATTTTTTAATACCAATTTGGGTGGTAAGATTAATTTCTTTAGTATTTTTGGCAGTTTTGAATATTTTAAAAAAACATTTAACTTGCAGTTATTTCATGAGACATTATCTTAAAAACTGACTGTATAACTTTTGCCTATTCAAATGAATTTTTGCATTTCTCTAGGTCCACAGCACAGACACAATTTTTAATCCGTTAACCACAGACCTGAGTGTGAAGATTCCTGGTTGGTCAGATGTATCAGTTCAACGTGAGGCATCAGAGGATCCCGGTGCTACTCCTAGCATTCAGCAAGTAAAAAGCCCTGAGAAAGTCCAGATTGCTCACCCTCTGCCAGTGGCTCCCTCCTACAGTTATGCCACCCCTACCCCCGAGGCCTCTTTCCAGAGCAGCTCCACACCACACCCAGGTGAGCTCTTTGTTTCTCTCCTTGGAGATAGGATGGGGAAATAGAGATTTTGATCAAAGTGTTCCCTTTTAGTGGGAAGAAAGGAAGGACAGAGGCATGACTTTTATTAATAAATACTGTAGATTAAAGAAATAATCCTATTAGTATCCCTGTAATTATAGTACATGGTCTCTCAATCGTTTTTTCAGTAAGCTCCAACCTATGGGAATTTATGAGGCTCTTTCTAGAGTAGAATTCCACTGCCTAGACTCAGTTAAATAATGATCAGGGAACCAAGCAGAGACTACTGGGAAGAAAGTTGGAACTGTACAACTATTTGCCTTCTGAATGGCTGATTATAGGTCAGAACAGTTGTGTCTCTGATTTTGAGAGCATCTTTATTTTCTTTTTAAAAATGCTTATTTAGGCCATACCACGTGGCTTCTGGGATCTTACTTCCCTGACCAGGGATCATACCTGGGCCTCAGCAGTGAAAGTGCTAAGTCCTAACCAGTGGACTGCCAGAAAATTCTGCATCTTTATTTTGAAAGCAGCTCATAGAAGGGAGATTTACACAGAGCGTTCCTTTAGCACAGGTCTGCTTTGTAAATTCGTTTTAAGATACTAGGAGGAAATGGTTAATCCAGGAAACTAAGTTGATCTTTATCTCCTGAAAAAGTCAACAGGGTGAAGCAAAGCCAGTGAAAATGAATTTTTTTGCCAGTTTTTAATTTCCTAAGGTTTCCTTTGGTGCTAATATAATGTGAAATCTAGGGTTTCAGTCCTGCAGCATTAAAATAATTTTTGTATTCAGGCAGGATGGTTGTGATTTTTGGTATAATTGTGAAAGATTTGGGCTGTGCTGTATTTTTGTCCATTACACTTTTTCTGAGTATAGTGGTTTCTTTATTTTCTTTTTTCCTCTTTTAAAAATTGCTTTAGCAGTTCTTATTCCACATCCTGGGGTGTCTAAATGCCATAGTTTCCATAATGGATGGTTTCATTTCTCCCCAAGTGCAGTATTCCCAAGCAGACAGATAAATCTCAAATTTCATATTTATGTAGGAAACCCTTTTCACCTCCCAGTCTTGGAATATGGATGAACCAGCCAATTGTTTGTTTTAAGCTCTCTTAGTTCTTGGGTCTCATCCAAATGAACAATTACTGTTAGAGATATAAGATTTGTATAATCAGTGGTTCTCAAAAGCCTGTGGACATTTTTGAATGTTTCAACTGTGGAGGAGGAGTGCTGCTGACATCTAGTTGGTCGGTAGTGACTCGGTATACTGCTGAGCACCTTACAGGATGCAGGATCCCCTTCACCCTCAGCACACACACACACATAATTGGTCCAGAATGTCATAGTTGAGAAACTTTGACATGTATGAAGTAGCTGGTGAATAGCAGAAAGATAGTATTTAATTATTAGCTGATGTGGATGTTCCAAATGCAGAAGTAGTTCAGGAAGTAGATCAGTTTGAACTGAAATGGTCTGGAAAGATTTTTTTGGAAAGAAGACTGGCTTTTAAGCCAGAAACAAAGTGCTGTACTTACAGTAAAGTAAGAATACACCCCAGTTGAAGGAAATAGTTTTAGCAAAGTCCCCTAGCGTAGACCATGGTTTCTGTGGAGCCCAAGAGGGAAAATGAATATAGCTGGAGGCAGAATCAGGGGTAGGAAGGATGAGACAATGTAAACCAGTGATGATGGATCTCTATGTCAGATTAGGAGTTTGGACTGAAGCATAAAGTATGAGTGGGGGTCTTAAGTAGAAGAGTAAAATGGTGGGTGAGTATTTTAGAAAAATTTTGGCAATAGGTGTTTTAGGAAGACAGAATGGATTAGAATGGGGAGAGGTAGCAGAGGAAAGACTAAGATTCTTGAAATTATCTAAGTCTATGGTTATATTGGTTGAAATGGAAAGAAAATTAAGGCTGGCCCTGTGGTCAACATTTCATTGAGGAATTTTATGTATTTTATCAACATAAAGATATGAAACAGAGCTAAACTCTGTTTACTGAATTCTGTGAAAAGTACTGTATAATGGAGGGCTTAGGGAAAGACCATAGTTAAAATACAGTAGAGAAAAACTCAGAGAGAAAGGAAGAAAGTGGAATAATACGGTATCAATAACCAAGAGTTTTTTAAGATGAAGTCAGCAGCATTAGATGCTACCCAGGTGAAGGTTGAGGGTTGAGAAACAGCTATTAGATTTGCTAAAAGCACTTTGTTGATGACCTCTGAAGATCCTTTTCAGTGGAAAAGTGGGGTAGAGTCACATTTCAAGGGACTCGAGAGTTGGTAAATAATGAAGAAATGAAGACAGTAGCTGAAAATTATTTATAGAAGAAATTTAACTACGAAAGAAAGGAGAGAAATAAGATAGTCTGGACCTAATTTCTTCTCTCTTGTGTATTGACTTCCTTTCCAGTTATAAAGGAATTGGTGGTGTCTGCTGGAAACAGTGTTCAGATTACATTACCTAAGAATGAAGTTCAGTTAAATGCATTTGTTCTTCCAGAACCAGATGCAGGTAAAACATCCACTAAATTTGTATAGTATTTTCATTTATAATGATATCTACATACATTTATTTGTTCTAAAAGTCCTATGAGATTAGGATATAGCTTGCACATGCACAAATATTTATATGATATGAGGCAGTTTAATGTTTGAGATCATAGGCTTTGATATCAAGGCTGGATTCAAATCATAGCTCAGTCAGTCATTGTTGTTCAGTCTCCAAGTTGCATCTGACTCTCTGTGACCCCATGGACTGCAGCATGCCAGGCCTCCCTGTCCCTCACCATCTCGTGAAGTTTGCCCAAGTTCATGTCCATTGAATCGGTGATGCCATACAACCATTTCATCCTCTGTTGCCCTCTTCTGCCTTCAGTCTTTCCCAGCATCAGATTCTAAGGAGTCGGCTGTTTGCATCAGGTGGCCTAAGTATTGGAGCTTCAGCATCAGTCCTTCCAATGAGTATTAAGGGCTAATTTCCTTTATGATTGACTGGTTTGATCTCCTTGCTGTCCAAGGGACTCTCAAGAGTTCTCCAGCACCACAGGTCAAAAGCATCAATTCTTCAGCTTTCTGCCTTCTTTATGGTCCATCTCTCAGATCTGTACATGACTACTGGAAAGACCGTACCCCTGACTATACGGACCTTTGTTGGCAAAGTGATATCTTTGCTTTTTAATACACTGTCTAGGTTTGTCATAGCTTTCCTGCCAAGAAGCAGTCGTCTTCTAATTTCATGGCTGCAGTCACCATTTGCAGTGATTTTAGAGGCCAAGAAGAGAAAATCTGTCACTGCTTCCATCTTTTCACTTTCTGTTTGCCATGAAGTGATGGGACAGGATGCCATGATCTTAGTTTTTTTAATTGTGAGTTTTAAGCTGGCTTTTTCACTGTCCCCTTTCATGCTCATCAAAAGGCTCTTTAGTCCCTTCTTTGCTTTCTGCCATTAGAGTGGTATCATTTGCATATCTGAGGTTGTTGATATTTCTCCTGGCGGTCTTGATTCCATCTTGTAACTCATCCATCCTGGCTTTTCTCATGATGTGCTCTGCATGTAAGTTAAATAAACCAGGTGACAATTAACAGCCTTGTCATACTCTTCTCAATTTTGAATCAGTCAGTTGTTCCATATAAGGTTCTAACTGTTGGTTCTTGACCTGCATTCTCAGGAGATAGGTAAGATGGTCTGGTATTCTCATCTCCTTAAGTCATTAGCTGGATGATTTTAAGCTGATTGTTTAACTTTTCTAAGTTTCCATTTCTTTCTCAGTAGAATGAAGATAGTAATCCCTACTTCATAAGGTTACTTAAGGGTAAAATGAAATGATATATAAGGTACCTATATACCTTAGTACCTAGCACATAGTGGATGCTCGTTAAGTGTAAATTTTATTATATCCATTTAAAAGAGGAAGAAACTGAGACTCAAGTTACCCTGTTTATTTTGGCCAAACAGCTAGTAAGTAGTAGATACAAAACTTGCAGAGAAGTTATTTAAGACTACTGCTAATATAGATTTGTCACTTAAAGAAAAAAAACCAAGCCCAATGTAATATACAATATTCAGATTTATAAGATATATAAGTTAGGGGATTATTAGCTTATTATTTAAGAAAACTTTTATAATATGAGCATCCCTTTCTCATGTATATGTTAGTATACCAAAGTTTGACTTACATATTTTCTCAAGACTGTCTGTGACATGAAGTAAAACATACTTTGATGGAAAATGATTGCGTTGAGGTTGTGTTACTCTTATTATAAGGTGGTCTTCCCTTGTGGCTCAGCTGGTAAAGAATCTGCCTGCAGTGCAGGAGACCTGGGTTCGATCCCTGGGTTGGGAAGATCCCCTGGAGAAGGGAAAGGCTACCCACTCCGGTATTCTGGCCTGGAGAATTCAGGCCATGGACATATATGTCCATGGACTATATGTCGCAAAGAGTCGGACACAACTGAGTGACTTTCACTTTCACTTTTCATTATAAGGTGGGTCAAGTAGCTAGTTATAAGGCTAGTTAAACAGAATGCCATACTGTATTCAGGATGGGGTCCTTTTTAGGTCCATTTTAGAAACACATTTCTGGTACAATATCCTTACTTTCTGGGCCTATTTATGCAAAAAGTACTTTTCCAGAACCTAAATGCCCTCTGTCTCTGTTCTGTATTTCTGCCCTCAAATTGAGTTTTCCTAATCAATTCGTTCTACCTTCCTGTAAAGAACCATTTTCCTTTCCTGTTCTGGTGATGAGGTGAATGGATCTGGTGGCCTTTGAAGATGCAGGTGAGGAAAGAGCTGCTTTGAGCTACAGTTACTTCCACTCTTTTCTGAAAGATATCCTGGCTCTACTGTATTTTCTTTTCTTACCCCTATTTGCATGTGGGTGAGTTAACATCACCTTGTATATCAGTCTTCCAAAACACATCAGTTCAAAAACAGATTCTTTCAACTCTCCTTTTCCCAGTTTTTTCAGCCTTTATCTGTTGGTACATGAGCTGGATGGTCTCAAACTTTCAAAGGTTGGGGACAGTGAGGCAGGACCAGCTCTTCCCGTTCATCCCCCTCGTCTTTGGCAACCCTGAAGCGCCTCTCAGGATCCCTCTGGGTTCAGAGGCATGGATTGAAAACCACTGCCCTAAATCATTAAAACCAGCATTCTGTCTAACACACCTACACTCCAATGTTCCTATCCTTGGGCAAATTCCTGTCTGTAAGGCATAATTCATCCCCCTGAGCTTTTCTGTCCTAGGAATATCGTCATATTTTGAAATCTGTGTTGCTAGCCTTAGATATGAGAAAATTGTCAGTTCCTAAACTAGTGTGAGTCTGTTCTCTGTGTGGAAAAATTTTTTCTAACTACAGTTCAAGAAATGTCATCTCTTAGCACCAGTCCTACTTCTCCTACTTCTTTCCTGCTCCTCGCCTCACCTAATTTTTACATCTACATTTATTAGAGCTGCCTGGGTCTGACAGTTGGCTAAAACATAGCCAGTATTTTCTGGAGGAAGAAAGAGTAGAAGATCTTATATCTCAGGCTTATAAAGTAAAATCTCGTCTTAAGTCTGTTTGGAATTAAGTTCTGTGTGTTAACTTCAACTTTTGAACTCATGAAATAAAAAGATGACCATTCTCTGTAAGTATTTGAGGCTTTTTATTTTTCCTTTTATTTTTCCCTTTTTGGATAGTAACTTAAATTAAACCTTCCTACCAAATCTCACCCTTTCCTAGCCATTAAATGCATTTTATTCCCCAAAATATTTAAGACAACTTTAACTGGGGAGGAATTCCACTTAGATAACAGGATTCCATGGTCACTCTAGATAGTCATATAGTCTAAGTTGCAAATGAGGACCATTTAATGCTTCATGTGATCTTAATTAATTTCAGTGGGCCCTGTTTTTAAATGGGCCATTCCCTACCACCTTCTGCAGTGTGTTATTTAGCTCAGCAGGAATGAAGTAGCTCTTTTAACTCACCAGGGTGTGATGACCTCAGTGAGACGAGCATTGTTAGCACTCTGTAAAAAGCTATTTTTGAACCATGTTATTTAGAAGTCATTGCTGTTCTTTGTTGCCTAAGAAGTTTTGCAAGAAAATGGCCTTTGTTCCCAATGAGTTCATCCGTAGTGGTTGGTAGGGCATGTGTTTTCACTGGGTGCCACACCGTGAGCAACTTGGTATTTTAGGGGAGGATTGGTCCAAAGCAGGGTGGGTATGGGGCAGGAGTGAGCTTGGCTGGGGGGAAAGTGGAAGAAGCCCTGACTATAGCCATCAGCAGAATCTACCCTTCCTTTCCATAGAATATTTGGTTTCGCTTTGGCATTAGGGTGAAATCTTGAAAACTAAGTTCTTGTCAAGACTAGAAAAATTTTGTTATTGGCAGGCTATGTGGCTGCCCTCTTTGTGTGTAGGTTTGTGTTTTCATGATTTTTGTAACTGCCCTTCCATAGGAGAAACCTACACCTACGACTGGCAGTTGATTACTCATCCTAAAGACTATAGTGGAGAAATGGAAGGGGAACATTCCCAGATCCTGAAGCTGTCCAAGGTGAATTTGCCTCCTGTCATTTGCAGGGATGGGGTAGAGGTTTTGACGATTTTCTAAAATGTATAATATAGAACTTTCTGTCCACACTAAAGTTAGGAACAATCTTTCAGAAGTGAATCCTCCAAAAATCTGGTTGGCTGACATCCAGTATTTGTTAGTGTATGATTCTCAAATTTTCATTTATGGTGAGAATATAAGCATAGTGGTGATAGCTGAAAATATACACTAAACAGCTTTTAAGGGTAACATAAGGATTTTAAAATTTGAGAGATAAGCTAGGTTATTTGTGGCCATATGACTGTGTAAATTGGCTCAGTCTTTTTTGGGATTCTGTATAGTTATTAAGAGCCATAAAAATGTTCATATTCTTTGGCCAAGCAATTTCTCTATCTGTCTTTCTTTTAACAACTGTTCATTGTACATTAGTTATGTGGTAAGAAAACTAGTAAGCTTTACTAGTTTCTAATCATAATATTAATATTTATGGGAAATAGAGTCTAGTAGGTGCTACTGACTGAAGCAGGTAATTACAACAGGGATACACTGGGTCAGTGTAGGGGGTATTGAATCCCCAGGGAGTTAGAGTAGATTTGTTAAGAGAGTTGGCCTGGTTGGGTCATGGAATGTGACTGGCTTACTGGATAAAGGTTGGAGTGGTAATACACCCAAGTAGAGGAAGGAATGTGTCCACTGGGCCAAATGATAGAGGAAATATGGGGAAAAGGGAATTACATGTGGTTCATCCTGACTGGACCCCATGGCATGAAAAGAGCAGTGGCACAAATGAGTTGGAGGGGTGTCGGGGCCAGATTGCACAGAGACTTGTGTGCTAGAAGAAGGACTTTGATTCTTATCCAGAGGGAGCCCTTGAAAGGTTTTAAGCAGAAGAATGACATGTTCAGGTTTTCAGTTTAGAGAGCTCACCCTGACTGCAGATTGGAGGAGAGAAGGCTCACACTGGGGACACGGTGAAGAGTCTGTTGAGACATGTAGGCATGAGATTGATAATAGTGTGTGTGAAAAAAGCAAGTAATATAAGCCTTACAAACCACCCATTGAGCTCTTTCCATGTGCTAGACACAGTGCTAATTGTTTTATGCAATTATTTCATTTAATCTTCTAACAACCCCAAATGTAATATTAATATCTGTTCTACAAATGACGAAGCTAAAAATTAGAAAAATAAAGTGGTTTGATCTAAGTGCACAGGCTATTAAATGGTAGATTCGAACTGGAATTTTCCATCTCTGAAGCCCATGCACTTAACAACTGTGCTATCATGAATGGTTAAAAACTAAGGTGGTGAATAGTGTGAACAGAGAGAAGTGGGTGGATTTGAGAAATATTATGGAGATCAATCTGGTGATCAGTTAATTGGATGGAGGTGTTGGGAAAGAGAGGTCTAGGATAATTTTAGCCTTTTGGCCTAGGAACTGACTGGATGTTGGTATATTTGTGACAGTATTCACTGAAATGAGAAGTATAGAAAGAGGAGCAGGTTCGGAGGAGATTTGCAGATGATTCATTCATTTTGGGACAGAGTGAGTTTGAGGAACCTGTGAAACATTTGAGTGGAAGTGACCAGTATGTAGCTGAGGGTAAGGGGCTAGAGATCAGGATGCAGGTCTGGGCTGCAGAGATAAATTTGTACACCAGCATCAAATAGATGACAACCAAAGCCATGGTAATAGATAAAATCATCCAAAGATTATATACAGTGAAGAAGTAAATGGATTACAATTGGGGTCCTGGGGGACACAGTCATTAAAGGTATGGAAGGAAGAAGAAATGGGAGAAAGTGAGGAGTAGGCACAGAAGTGGGAAGTCAAGGAAGGGGAGCATTACAGGAAGAAGGAAGTGATCAGAAATGCTACATGCATTCGATTAGCATGTACCCAAAGGAGATAATTCAAAAGAAAAACACCATTTTACTTGAAAGATATTCATCACAGCATTAGTTATAATATTTAAATTTTGGAGACAGCTCAAATATCCAACAATATGAAAAGCTTATGTGAATTATGGCACATTTATTCACGTACTATTCTGCAGCCATTAAAATGACTGTTAAAGAGACTATTCTAATGGGAAAAGTGCTCATGCTAAACGAATTGAAGAAAGAGCAATAAAAAGTTTGATACATACCCTGATTTTAGCTAGGCCCTGAATACTGCTGAAATAATGAGCTCCTTGAAGGCAGGGACCTTGCCTTATTCATCTCCAAACTCCAAGCCTAGAACAGTGACCATATACAATTGATTCTCAATAAATGTTTGCTGAACAAATGAACTGTTTATAGCTCTTTCTTCGTGTGTGTGGTGAAAGATTAGACAGATATAAGAAAAATATGATTAATTGGGATGTTAGGACAATGGGATTGTGAGGTTTTTGTTTTGTTTTGTTCATACAGTTAGTAGAAATCAGGAGGGGAAAATATTCAGGTATTTGAGAGCTATTTGGTGTTTTTACAAAATGTTTTTCTTTGCAGAGTTGATTGTTTTAATTTCATAACTGAAGTAGGATGGTTGGGTCCTTAATGTTCTTCTGGAAAGAAAATGGGAGTGCAGAGATACTGAAATCCCTTCTGTTGTTCAGAGTCAGCTAGTAATAAGATTCACATTGAAAGCTATGGTTTTTCAGTTTCTAATTCATTGTTTCATCTCTTCAGCTAGTTTACTTTCTCCATTTTGGAAATGGTGCAAGAACAGGAGTATGCAAGAATCAGCATTGAAAAATTTAGGTATACATGCTATTTTAAATATAATTGCTGCTGTTTGTGGTTTTCTGAAAAATCTTCTCTCACTTCTGCAGCTCACTCCAGGCCTTTATGAATTCAAAGTGATTGTAGATGGTCAGAATGCTCACGGCGAAGGCTACGTGAATGTGACAGTGAAACCAGGTGTGTTTCCCAGCCCCAGCCCTGTCTCCCTTGCACCCTCTGCAGGATTCCCAAGGAGATGGAGGTTTCACTTTAGGGGTCTTAAATTCTCATTCCTTTTTGGTAATATATTTCACGTATTGGGCAATTCCTAGTTCAGTGTAGTAAAAGGTTAGCCTGGTGAAGTGTATGTAGTTTGATTCTAATTGGCATACCTGGCTGGGCAGGGAAAAGTTGGTCACATGGCCCATAGTGTAGTGTGGCCTACCTTCTTGAGAATTACTTCTCCAAGTGGGTCATGCTGAGAGAGGACTGTGTGTTGTAATTAAGAGACACAGGAAAGGCAGGAGCCTGGGAGAAGCATGTCTAAAGAGAACCAGGCCAGTGGCAGGCTCTTTCTGATCTCTTTCCAGAAATGTGGGCCTTTGCACACAGAATTCCTCATTTAAACCCTGCCAGTCCTCTTTTATCTTGAAAGCCAAATCTCATCATCCTTTTCAAGTGATCCACTAGGGCTTCCCTTGTGGCTCAGCTGGTAAAGAATCTGCCTGCAATGAGGGAAACCTGGGTTCAATCCCTGGGTTGGGAAGATCCCCTGGAAAAGGGAAAGGCTACCCACTCCAGTATTCTGGCCTGGAGAATTCCACGGACTGTATAGTCCTTGGGGTCGCAAAGAGTCGCACATGACTGAGTGACTTTCACTTTCATTGGTAGATTACAGTGCATTAGCAAGGTATCTTGTTGTGCATTTTCAGAAAAATTTGGGGGTAGTTGGAAAGTGACACATACATTGGCACAAATTCTTAATACTGTTTTCTATCTTTGTTGGTAAAGGTTTTCTTTTCCTTTCTTGAACTTTGTAGCCAAAGTAATCCCTTCACCTTCTTAAATATGTGTTAAGCATAAAGACTGTTTGATCATTTCTCAAAGAGGAGGCTGCTGGGTTTATAGCTCACATTCATGAGAGTGGACTGAAGTGTCTGTTACCTTCCCAGTACTCAGGCCTAATTATCTCACACACAATCAGCTCAGGGATGGTGGAGAAATCACCCATTATTTTTTTCACACAGTCTGTGCCAAGAGATAGTTTGCTTGCCAAGTCCTTTATTGCACAAAGCTTGTTTGTTGTCCACCTCTGTTCAGCTTGCCTGAAAGCAGTCAGTTGCTGCTATAGTACTTATGATATACTAGATAGTGCATGAGCATTGAAAGTATGCACATGGCCTTAGCAGTCGTCAGGTTTCCAAGAGGTTTCAACAATCCCGGGTGTGTCAGGTTAGAACGGTAACCTGATCTTGTGACTTTCCCATTTGGCGATGCTCAGCTCTCCAGTTATGTAATGGAAACTGACATATCCTGCACTCAGATATGACCTGCTTCTCCTGTGATATAGTTTATGAAGCCCTTCTCCCAGTTTCTTGTGGGTCGTTTTTGCAGAGCCCCGTAAGAATCGGCCTCCTGTTGCCGTTGTGTCGCCGCAGTACCAGGAGATCTCCCTGCCGACCACTTCTACAGTCATTGACGGCAGCCGTGAGTACACGTCTCAGCATGACGGTTTGGAAGGGCATTCGCTGTGTACTCTAGTAAGAGGTTTGCAGCCAGCTGTGTCTGAGTACTGTTTAGACCAGTCCTCTTGGCCATGCTATGGGAAGACCAACTGTCTGAAGCAATCTATTAGGGAGTAAAACCTAAACAGGCCCTTTTTAAAATCCCCGTGTGGCCCGACTAAAGTAATAGTTCTTCTCTGAGATGGTAAAAAAAGTAGTAGTATTCATGTACTTTGCGTTATGTTAATTGAAGCTTGCTGATTTTCAAATTTGCTTGCCTGGAGTTGCCATTCTTAGTTATGAAAACAAAGCTCCTTCCTATCTGTCATGGCAAGATAAGTACCTGCAAGTCTTGACAAAGAGCTCTCACTTAGCCATCACTGCCTAACAAGATCCTTGTCAGCCTTCTCCTGGAGGGACTCAGAATGTTCCCCCCACCTTTGCCTAGGCTCATTATTAACATTTTACCCTTCCGAGTAGTGTCACCTGATGGGTAACATGAGAGGATTTCTGGGTCTTGGCTGTGTGTGTGCACAAGAGGTTCAGGCCTGGCATCTCACCAGTGTTCACTTGGTTTCTTTTGAGACCCATTAGGGTCCAGTTACCCTGACTGTCTTGGCACCACCAGTGGATTCTGGTAGAGGCAGTCACTGCTTAGCAGAGGAATCTCTAGCAAGGTTAAACATTTCGTGTAGATGCTTCTGGCAAGCAGAGGAGGATGGAAGAGTAGCAGGCCAAAAGGAAGAGACAGAACAGAATGAAGCACTTGTGAGAGTGGCAGGAAGAGTTCACTTAGCACCATCTATTTTATAGTTTGAGTAGGTCAGAGCTAAATAATGCCCAAGGGCGCGCAGTGAAGAGTCATTGTCATCCCTGTCTCCCAGCCGTCCAGTTTTCCTCCAGACAACAACTGGCATTATTTATGCATCTTTCCAGAGATACTTTAAGTGTTTATAAGAAAATATACGGTCTGACAACACATTATACACACTAAATTATGTACAATGATTGCTTCTATATGTTGGAGAATTTTTCTGACTTAATACATGCAATACTTCTTCACTCTTTTTTTCTTTTAATGTTTACGTAGCCTTCCATTATATGAATGCATAATTTCATTGTATAAATATATACTTGTTTTCAGTCAGTCTCTATTGATGACCATTTAAATTATTTTTGATTTGCTTTTAAAATAATATTACCATGAATAATCTTATAAGCATGATAGTTAACACAAATGTTAAATGTTCTACAGATATACAGCACAAGTGCAAGTATATATATAGGATTAAGTTCCTCAAAGAGGTATTGCAGGGACAAAGATAAATTTTCCCAAATTCCTGTTTATAGAGGTTTCAATTTATGCTTCCACTATGACATTATGAGGGGTCCTCTTCCCCCACACCTTTACCCATATAATTTGTTAGGAAATTTTGGTGTTTACCAGTTAGCTAGGTTAAAAAGTGCTGTGCTAAGTGTAAATTTCCTTTTATTTTAAGTAGCTTTAATCACTTTTATTTTAAGTAGGTTTAATCACTTTTGATTTTACTTTTTATATACAGTAACATTTTAACGAGAGGTTGCCTATGTTGGAGTCCTTGGAAAACTATGCAGTGGAATATTCATAGAGAGGCAGAATGACCCAATAATCCTAGGAAAGAAACACTCTGGAGAGATAGTCTGTAATTTCATGAAGTTTTTCTAGACTTTGCTAAACACAATGAAGAGAGAGTCTGTAATTTCATGAAGTTTTCCTAGTAGTTGCCCTGCTTTGTGTAAGCTGGATAAATGCTGAGACCCAGTGCTCTCATGTTGTAACTGGTATTTCTTTATGACCAAGAAAGCACTGATGATGATAAAATTGTCCAGTACCACTGGGAAGAACTTAAGGGACCTCTGAGAGAAAAGAAGATTTCTGAAGATACCGCCATATTAAAACTAAGTAAGCTCGTTCCTGGGAACTACACTTTCAGGTAAATTTGGATCCTTCAAGCTTACCATAGGCCATTTTCTCCCCCCTTGTGAGTTTTGCATTATTAAAAGAGTAGCTCTGACAGATATCAAATTCCCTGTGGAGCTGATTGGTAATATAACCTTTGGTTCCATTGGTTCTTTATGCCATGTGGTAATTGTGGTCAAAACTGATAACTTTTCAGGGCAAAGGTCCTTGCATAGTAGATCAGGATCCACACAGCTAATCCCTCCCAGAGCCGTGCTTGGCACACACCCAGACCTTTTTATGGAATTTCTGTCATAAACTAGACCGTCTTCCTTTGCCTTTTCTCAGGAAAATTCTGTAAGGAATCTACTCTCATTTTTTCCCTTTGGGAAATGCTTCCTCAGCTTCTGAGATCTCAAAATCCTTACTTTTGACTAATTATTTATTTGAATATAATTTGTGGGATCTTTCTCTATTGGGGACTTTTCAGAGAATATGATTCAAAGTCAGTTCTTTTGGGAACTAGCATTGATATACTAGATTGTGATTAGCAAGTATGAGGCTGATTCTAGAGTAATCTTCCTTGTATTTGCATTACTCCTTGTATGCTGCAAAGCGCTTGTACTTGAGTGTCACACAAACACCAGATGTACACTATACTATCCTTATTTTACAGCTGAGAAAAATGGGGCTAACTACTAACTTCTCTGAGGTCACACAGCTAGAGCTGAAACGCAGATTTTCTAACCCCCAAGGTCAGGGCTCGTTCTACTCTGCTGCTTGACTTGACCTGTATGTGTTTTGTCTGTGCTTCCTCGAATGCTCTTCTCAGTCTTTCAGGGTTCTGCCTCTCTTTAAGGGTCTCCTCCGTTTTCAGCGAGGCTCTTGGAGATCCCTTCAGAGAGGAGCAGTCTCCTCACTCCCCGTTACACTCAGTGACTGGGTGTGGTGCTTGCCGTGGTGCAGCAGCTTGCTCACAGGTGTCTGTCCTCCCTGCTGGACCTGAGATTAGTCACGTTTGAGACTCTACCAGAGACGCAGCAAGGAATGTCCTAGCACAGCACCTGCCATATAAATAAACGAGTTCTGACTTAGCAGCTCTCTCACTGACTTCACACTTGAAGTGAATGAAGGGTATCTGCCATTACAGCAAGATAGGAGCCTTCTCATTGGCTTAAAATGGAAATATGAGTTGGTTTTTGCCTTGAATTTCTAATATAGGAACTTTAATATTTATGGAATTTAGCCTGGGCCACGTGATCCTTTTTGAAATAGTAACAAAAATAGCTACTGCTTCTTGAACATTTACTGTGTCTTTAGTACTGTTCAGAGCTCTTTGCACGCAGTAGCTCATTTAATCCTTGTAACTGATATTATAATTATTCTTATTTTACAGATTAGGAAATACAGTCACAGAGGTTAAGTAACTTGCCCAAGGTCACATAGGCTGCTGACTCAAGTCTGAGCTTTTAACCACAGTTCAACCTAGAGCATTTCAGGTGAATGGGTGCAATTCTGTTTTTCTAAGCCTCAGTCCATAAAAAGATGGAATTGGGTTTGACTAGCATTAAGGTCCACTTTGTTTGATTCCACTTACCTTTTCTTGTCCCCTGCTTTTACATGGCAGTGGCCTCTTTCCCCATCCCTGTGGTCATCTGCTGTTTGGTTCCAGGATTTTTACATGCACGCCAGGGACCGTCTAAGGTGAAAGAGTAACGGGCATTTGCCACTTTGCATCTGTCTATAAATTGCTTTTGTTCTGAAAGAGAAGACAAATAAGATATGTTTTTAAAAAATAAAAAACTGAAAACAGGGAAACTGGAAAAAGAGGACAACTTATGTGGATTTTTCTTTTTCAGGTATTTGCTGATTTGCACATGTCTGTGTGTGATGTTTTTGTGTTCTTTTTCTCAAGGCTGTAATATCAGAAATCCCTTTAAGACCATAGGTAAAAAGTGAGATTGTGGGATTAAAAACCCACAGATGTCTGGCTCTTTCTGTGGCTGGTGGTGAGATTTAAACAAACGACATGTCTTTTATATGCTTTTCCTCTTTCTGTCAGCAAAATGGAAGGAGCCCAAACCTCCTTGCTTGCTTATGCTCACATTTTGAGGTGGCAAGAGAAGCTTTAGGCTGTTCAGCTGGAAGGCATCATTTAGGTAAAAGCCTGCTCTTATAAATGAACATTTTTTTTTTCTCTTGCAAATTCTCTTTCACACTGGCACAAACTGTGGGACTGTTGCGTAGGAGACTCATTTCCATCTCAGGCTCCTATCTTACTGGAGCCAGCCTTCCCGGTCCATCCTAGAGGCGGTCTGCCCAGGAAGTCCATTCTCGCGCTGCATACACAGCCAAAACAGGATGATTGGAGGAGAGCCTGCTGCAGTCAGAGCTTGCTTTATTTAGTGTAGCGTCTTTGAACCTCAGGGATAGGGGCTGGGAATTACTACTTCTTAAGACTTGATTCTGGGCTTTGGAGTCAGAGCACTGGGCTTGCACCTTGACTCACTATTTAGCTCTGGGCAGGTTTCTTAACCTCTTAAAGACTTGTATAATTGTGAGATTGACGGTACCTCTTTCTGTGTGTTCGTTGGGAGGGCCATATCAGATAATGCTTATAAAGGTCCCAGCCACAGACACATGCAGGCAGCAGAGTGAAACGGTGTAGAGATGTATTGTCTAGATTTAGATCCTGACTGCACTACTGTCAAACTTTCAAGCTTGGGCAAGTTACTTGATCTCTTTCTGCCTTGGTCTCCTCATGTGTATAGGGAGCGAAATAGGGACAGTACTTTCTAGATCTGTTGTGAGGATTAAGTGAGATACAAAGTGCTTAGAACAGTGCCTGCTGCACAGTAAACCCTCAGTCAGCGTTAGTTTCTAGCATTATCCTGACTCTCCAGAAAAGAGTGGGTTAGAATTGATTGCCACCTGGTAACCCTGCCACTTTGCTGTTTTCTAGCCTTGAGTTCTAGTTCTTCCACGTTTATTCCTCTCTCTTTAAGCCCATCCCTGATGGCACTTCGCTCTCTCTCCTGACAGCTTGACTGTAGTAGACTCTGATGGAGCTACCAACTCCACCACTGCAAGCCTGACTGTGAACAAGGCTGTGGACTACCCCCCTGTGGCCAATGCAGGCCCCAACCAAGTGATCACTCTGCCCCAGAACTCCATCACCCTCTTCGGGAACCAGAGCACTGATGATCATGGCATCACCAGCTACGAGTGGTCGCTCAGCCCAAACAGCAAGGGGAAGGTGATGGAGATGCAGGTAGGAAGGAAGAGCACCTATCTGTTCTTGCCCAGGGGAATTAGAGCTGCTGGACTGGGTCACCCATCCAAGGCTTATTTTTCTCCATCTTAATAATGAAAGTCAGATTAGTACATAGGACATTGATTTTTTTTTTTTTTTAAAGAAAGGTTACAAGGCCTTCAGTTAACCCATTAGCAAAAACTTTTATCTTAAATATTTAGTATTAGAGGAAAAGACTGATAGCTGTTCTTGGATAATTTCAGGGAGTCAAATTCTTTAGAAACTGCAAAGGTAGAAATCTTTTTTATTTTTAAATCAAATTTTTTTTTGGCATATAGTTGCTTAACAATGTTGGGTTAGCTTCTGCTGAAGAGTGCACATCTTGAAAGTGAAAGCAAGTGTAAAAGTCGCTCAGTCGTGTCCAACTCTCTGCAACCCCATGGACTATACAGTCTGCAGAATTCTCCAGGCCAGAATGCTGGAGTGGGTAGCCTCCCCCTCCTCCAGGGGATCTTCCCAACCCAGGGATTGAACCCAGGTCTATCTGCAGGTAACACTGCACGCCTGCAGTGTGGGAGATCTGGGCTCGATCTCTGGATTGGTAAGTTCCCCTGGAGGAGGGCATGGCAGCCCACTCCGATATTCTTGCCTGGACAATTCCCATGGACAGAGGAGGCTGGTGGTCTACAGCCCATGGGGTCGCAGAGTCAGACACAACTGAGCGACTGAGCACAGCACAGCACATCTTGGTGAGCTCTGTTAAAAACCGGAGTAGATCGCCTGACTGGACAGTGAGCATCTTCTCTGAAGATATTTAAGAAGAGGCTCGGTCAGTCAACAGGCAGGTAACTAAGTGAAGAAAACTGGGTGGGGGCTGTGGCAAACTGGACAACATAAGCCCTGACTAAAGGGCTCAGCAGCCCCTCAAGTTCAGCTGGTTGCTGCCACTTTGGAGTACGGTCCCAGTGTTGTCAGATCCTCCAGCTTTTCAAGAGAAGACAAGTCTAGACTTTTACATGAACTTTCCCAACTTTTAAGACCCTAAGACCAAATAAAATGCCTGCAAGCTGGATTCAGCCCAGAGGCTGCTAGGTTTTGCCTACTGTTCTAGAAGTTCCTGCATTGGCAGTTGGCTCTAAATTATCTATAATATCCCTTCTGACACTCAAGAGTCTTATGTTTTCATATTTGAGGCATGACTTAAAGCTCACATTTCATCCGGCTTTAGTTTAAGTATTATATGAGGTTCTCTGCTGTCACAGAATCGATTGAGACCTGTAAGGGGACAGCACAGCATTACAAAGCATCTTGAGTTGTTGCTGCCATGTTTGATTGAGGCAGCTTTGTTAGGCATCACACTTTGTTAGAACACTGTTTTTTAAATTGTGTTATTTTGTTATATGTTCATGGTCTTTTTGGCTTGAGTCATAGAAATGGATCTTGGTTATCTCTGCACATTTTCCTGTACTCCCTTCCCTTGTGAGAGCTCCGACTTTATTTGAAACTGTTGCTGTGTCAGAGGGTTATTCCCTTGAAGGGTCAAGCGTTTTTAACAAGATGTTCCTTAGTGTCTGATTGAGTATTCACTAATTGGAAGGTGGTGGCCCAGTACCAACCTAGGTTTAGAAAACTGGGTAGATCATGTAGACCAGAGGAGGACTTACTGTATGGTATGATTCTGAGAGGCCACTTCTCTGTATTTATTCATTCAGGGGGTTAGAACACCGACCCTGCAGCTCTCTGCCATGCAAGAAGGAGACTATACTTACCAGCTCACAGTGACTGATACAATAGGACAGCAGGCCACCGCTCAAGTGACTGTTATTGTGCAACCTGGTGAGTTCTGACGTTGTGGCAGGCTCTTCTGTTGGCTGGTCCTTTGACCCTTGGGTCAGAAGAGGGCTTGGGTTCTGAGCTATATGAGGGTAGAAGTGGGAGTTACGCATCTACCATCCCCCGGCAACTTCGATTGTCCCTTCCCCTGGTGCTTTCTTCATAGGCACAAAGAGTATTTCACAGCCTAATTTGTGCCCTTGCTCTGGTTACTGTGTCTTCAGGGGGAGCCAGCAGATGGTCTCTGCCATCCCAAATCCTTTTTTTTTTTTTTTGATCCACCTTGCAGTTTGCAGGATCTCAGTTCCTTGACCAGGGATTGAACCCAGTCCACAGCAGTGAAATCCTAACAGACCTAGACCACTAGGGAACTCCTCCTCCCATGTCCTTTAAGGGCCAGCTTAAAGCCTACTTCCTCAAGAAAACCCTTCCTTATCTCTCAGGCCCTTTCATTTAAACTCCTATAGCATTATACTTCAAATTTAGCATGGCGCTGTAACTTCGTTATGTTCTGCCATGTTCTTTCCGAGTTGTTTTATACTTTTTGGTCTTATATTCTTCATTGTGAGCTCCCTGACGATACCCTACCTCCCACGGTATCTGAAAGTTCTGTGGGTGGAGAGGCAGAGTCCTTGAGGCTTCCAGAACATATGTCCCAGTTGGTTCCTCTGTTTTCCCAGCTGGACTGCCTGCTTTTGACCTCCAAGTCTCTGTCTTCTAGAAAACAACAAGCCTCCACAGGCAGATGCAGGCCCAGATAAAGAGCTGACTCTCCCCGTGGATAGCACAACCCTGGATGGCAGCAAAAGCTCCGATGACCAGAAAATTATCTCATATCTTTGGGAAAAAACACAGTGAGTACTGACACGAAACCCTTGTGTTTGCAAAGGCACCAGACCTTTGAAGAGCTAGGTTTTACTTGCCTTTAAGAGTTTACTTTCTTATTAGCTTATCCAAGGGGGATTACTGAGGAAGAAATGTTTGCAGTCCCAAACTTCAGCTCTAAGGAAATGATATAATTTTTATAAGAAAGAAAGAGAATGCTTACCATCAACTCTCCCCAGGTAGTACTTTGTGGTTCTGGTGCTGTTACAGGTACAATCCGTCTGCTGAAATGCATAGTTTAATTACACTTGAGAGGCAGGATGGAAGGGGTAATGAAGCAGAAAAGTACCGTTGCTCAGAATTAACTGGGCAAGGCTGGCAGCGGGGATGGGGCGGAGCAGCTATTAAGGAGAACTGAAAATTCATCTGCAAAATGAAAGCATTACTCTGTTATTGTTTCCTTGAAGACACCGGTTACCACTTAAGTTAGCCAGAGGCCAAAGGCAGTAACTGAAATAATACTAATTAAATTGGAACTTCCTAATCGAACCATTCCTGGTTCTCAGTTTCTTTCATTTCCTTTAAGCCATGACAAAAGGAACTCAGGTTATATGCAGGATCCCACAGGAAGCAAAAGAATTCCAAGAAAGAGTTAAAAGCATTCTCAGTTTCCAAAGATAGCAGCCATAAGAGAGACTGGGTTTTTTGGTTTTGGTTTTGACTGGGACGTTAGAAATGGGTGGGTAAGGGCTGTAATTTGACTTGAAAAGCACTTGACTTATGATTGGTGAGTTGGAGTCTAGAAATTATTTTGCTTAGCTTTTGTTGTCTAGAAATTATTTTGCTTAGCTTTTGTTTCTTTCTTTTAAAGAACCTAATTTTCCTCAACCTAGCATGTTTTAATTATAACTGTTTGTTGAAGATACAGCAGATAAACCGTTTAGTTGAGTTTTATTAGTGTTTACAGCAGAAGTAATGCCTAGCATGGCTTCTTGGAGGCGAATCTGTTTTAAGAGGGGCGGCTGTGGTCACGGTTATACGTTTAAAACAACACGAGCAAAACCTGGGAGTGTGCAGCTTTCTCTGGCTGTCCCTGGGTCTTAAGGAAAGCTCTGAGGCGTTTTGGCCCTTGAGCAGAAGGGCTGTCTGCTGTGTGTAGTGTTGTGCCTGCATGTTGGCGCAGAGCTCACTCCTCTGCCACAGGCTCCTTGTGAGGCCGCCAGGGACAAGGAAGATACCGGCGTTCTGGGTCCTCTGTGGCCCCTGTCTAGGAGCGGGAGGGAGTTTTGCTTATGGAGCTGCTGTGCTGAGAAGAGGATGATTTTTCCCTGAGTGCTCTCTGCAGCCTTGGCCTATTTCCTCTCCCTGACTTTTCAGCAGGAGGGAATTTGGCGTGTGATTAAGAAATGCATTTTGCTTCTTTGCTGGCAAGAGGTGAACCAACTACTGGGCCAGAAATGCTTTTCAGAAACATGACTCTTAAATCATTCTTTTGATCAGAGACTTGCTCAGAGCACTTTCTTCCTTTTGCAAACTGGAACAGCACAGAGTTTGGATATTCTAGAAGCTCTCATAAAGGATAAGGCTAAATGTGTCTGAAAGCAGGTGAATGGAATTTTCTGATCAGCAGGTAGCTTGTATTTTTGGGGCCAGATGACACTCTGTCCAAATGGAATATTTTTAAACATGCCCTCTCGAGGTGAAGGAAACAATAGTTCATGTCTTAGCTGAGGCAGTAATTGTCTGCTCCTGCTGAGTCGGGGACAGGAGAACAGTAGACAGGTGCAACTCCTCCCTCTGGTTTCTCTTTGTCTAGGGGACCTGACGGGGCACAGCTCGAGAATGCTAACAGCAGTGTCGCCACTGTGACTGGGCTGCAAGTGGGAACCTACGTGTTCACCTTGACCGTCAAAGATGAGAGGAACCTGCAAAGCCAGAGCTCTGTGAATGTCATTGTCAGAGAAGGTATATCTTGCCACCTTGGGTTGGTACAGCAGCCTCTGGGTCAGATAAGTAAAGAATCCGTCATCTCTTGTTTGTTTGAAGAATTGATTAGAGACAAAAGGTAGAGAAGAAAGTCAGGGGTAAGGGCAGCTGTTATTTGCTTTTCTAAAACAGTCTTTGATTGAGTGGCTTTTAAGGTAAATTTTAGCTCCTTGTTTTCCCTCCCTCCCTTCTTCCCTCCTCAGTTGAACAGGAAGAGAATTAAGGTTTTTTCCCTTTGCATTTTTATTTTATCTCTGCTGCTAAGTCCCTGGGTCTCTGTAACTCTCCTGCTAGCTACAGTGACACCTGCTGTCCAACCTTAGAATGACTGCCCTGCACTATTGCTTCCTGTGCTTCTCCTGGGAGCCTGCACGCTGAGGCCAGCTTAACAGGAGTGGCTTAGCCTTGCTGTGGTGTGCAGGCACGAAGATCAGTAATGGTCTTGGGAGAGGCCCATAAGCTGATAGTGGGAAAAACTATCGGATAGGCAGATGGCCCCCCAACACAGTACCCGAAACGCAGCGACTGCAGAGCACACACTGAGGAAACAGCTGCGTGGGGCCCGGGTAAGGAAAGTGTCCTCTCCTTTCCCCCTTTTAAAGTGCTAAGGGAGGGGTCAAAAAAAGATGTTCAGAGAATAACATTTTAAGCCACATTTTGAAGATAATATGTAGTATCAGCTGATGAAAGCTGAACTTCAGGGCTTTAACCACTTTAGGCCTTTGTTTCCAATCATCTTCTATCACCAAAGCAGAGAAATGGATTCCTCCCAGGGAGGCTGCTGTGAGAATCTAGGAAGAAGCTGCGCTTGTCCTCTCTGCTGGACCGTGTCAGGGAACACTTCTCTGGGTGGCACTGGTGGTGGTGACCCTACACTGTTCATTGCTGATGTGGGTAAACACTTAACATGGTTCTCCAGTTAGGATGTTTTTGATGTTTAATTTTCTCACAAGCACCATGAAGAAGCATTTCTTTCTTTTCTGAATGATACATTTTTTTCAGTTGTTTCTCTTTGTTTAGAAATGAACAAAGCACCTGTGGCCAAGATAGCTGGGAACGTGGTAATCACCTTGCCCACGGACACAGCAGAGCTGGACGGCTCCAAGTCCTCAGATGACAAAGGAATAGTCAGCTACCTCTGGACTCGAGATGAGGGGAGCCCAGCAGCAGGGGTAAGTGTGCCCGGAGGTGGAGAGCTCCACGGGTCAGGTGGTGAGATGGGGAGAGGAGGCTGAGTCAAGCACTCCAGGACCTGTTTTAACCAAGTGGTCTCTTGTGTCAAACCTGGATTGTGCTCTGAAATCCAGGGAGATTAAATGACTTGCCTAGGGTCACCCCTCAAACTCATGTGGAACAGAACGTAATTCTGTTCTCTGATCCTCATCACTGTGGGTTGTGATGCCCTCACAGAGCAGGAACTCAAAGCCATCTACCCAGAGGGGGCTTAGCTATGACAGACGCAGCTGACTCCTATGCAAGGAGTATGGTTTTGTTCTGCAATATTGCCGTATCGTTCCACCCCACAGGAGGTGTTAAATCACTCTGACCACCACCCTGTCCTCTTTCTTTCCAACCTGGTCGAGGGAACCTACACGTTTCACCTGAAGGTGACGGATGCGAAGGGTGAGAGTGACATAGACCGGACCACGGTGGAGGTGAAACCTGGTGAGTTCATTTAGTGAGGAGCCGGAGTGGAGTTGGTGGGTCAGCCCAGCAGGGCCTGGATCCTGAGACCCTTCCCCCACAGCATGGACAGAGCCAGATGGCGTATCCAGCTTTAAAACAATCTAGAATCCCCAAGCTAAGAGCTGTAGAGACTCTCTGTTCCACCACGACCTCTCCTACGCACACAGAAACATGGACCCGCCCTGCTTAACTCAGACAGAAACTCAGAAACTCAGAGAGGGCAGGGCCTGCTCAGCTTCACACAGCCGTCGTGTCAGAGCCAGGCCTTCGGGCCCCTGTGCCAGCGCTTTCTCCTCTATGTGTGACTGATGACAGAGGGCTCAGGGTGCTTTGGGAATCTGAGCACAGGAATAACTTGAGTCATGATGTCTCATCAGCACCCAGCTGCAGAAAACAATTTATTTTTGTAAGTTGAGCCTCAGGCTTTATCTGACAACCCCCAGGGAAGGTAGAGTAACTGGTGTCCTTTACATTTTTCAGATTTGCAGAAATAAAATTCATTTCTTAAATAGAACCATGTTTTTGTTTTGTATTGAGGCTAATTTGGTATTAGGGAGGAAATGAGTACAGGGTGGGATAGAGTGTTATAAATTCCTGAGCATCTGATGAGAAGGTATAAACTTTAAACCTACTCTTTATTAGGTTTAAGGCCAGGCTTATGTACAGATGTCTTAGAAGGGAAGGGATCTTGGCAGGTCTTCCAGTCTTTGCCCTGCCTCTCTGAAGGACAACAGCCAAGACACTGTGAAGTCTCCTCTGTGTTTAAAATCACATCACAGATAGTCTCTAATTATGTAAATGATACATCAGAACAGACAAATGGTGTGTCAAGTATGTGAAGGAGGTATTCTGAATAGCCACTTTTAACTTCCACATATAGAACAGTCTTTAGGACATAATCAAAAGTAAGACATAATGGTGTCACAATTCTAGAGTTGTGAAAACATTGTCTGGCTGTGATGTTGTTTTAAGGAAATCCTTGTTTCTTGGCTGCCTGGATTTCCTTCGTGTTTATGATTTTCAAACCTGTAGGGCAGGTGCATTCCCACTGGTAAGATTGTTGGCATAGAAAATTTCCCTTCCGTTGTTGCATACAAAGTACATCTGTCAATGAAAATCAGACTGGATCAGGAGAGATTGCTGGACACCCACCACTTGGCCTGAAGAGTTCAGCAAAGCCAGTTGGGCAGAGACTTTTAGAACAAATGTTGAAGTGTTTCTCTTTTCCCCACTTCCTTCACTAAACCCCATTGATTTGGTCTGGGCCCCAGCACATGTGTGGTATTTCTCAGGTTAGTGGAGAGACCAGGAATGCTCCAGAAGCTCTCCAAGCCAGCCCCAGATTGCTGGGCTCAGGACGAAGCAATGGGGGGTTCACCATGGGGCCTTTCCACTTTGAAGGAGGTCACTTGCATTTCTGAATACTCTCACCACGTTCTGTCCTGGGCCAGAGTGCAGGCACAGCGGCAGGTCTGTGTTAGCTCTCCTACTTCTAAAGCCATGATTGATCCACATGCTTTCCAGATCCCAGGAAAAACAGCCTGGTGGAGATCATCTTGGATGTCAACGTCAGTCAGCTGACTGAGAGGCTGAAGGGGATGTTCATCCGCCAGATCGGGGTCCTCCTGGGGGTGCTGGACTCCGACATCACTGTGCAAAAGATTCAGCCGTACACGGAGCAGAGGTAGCCGGGCATGAATGGGGGGAGACGAGGAAAGACCAGGGGTCCCCTGGGCTTCTTGCCTGAGCTGATAAAGTAGTGTGGGTAGATAGAGAAGAGTGGGCTCTCTGACCAGGAGCCACTCATGGTGTTCATTTCTTTAACGAAGAAGAAATGTACTCTCTTAGGACAGGTCATGTGCTCTGTGCTAGACACTGCAGCGGGTTACAAGGTCAGAAGAGGGCCATGATGTTTGAAGACCATGTTCTAGTAAGGGAGATGATCAAGTACATTCATGACATCAGTACACAGTGGCTTTGACAGAAGGCCAGTTGGAAGTAGATAGGGTAGGAGGTCCCCAGAGAAAGAGTATCAGGCTTTTCTTAGCTTAAGCCATTTTTGGCCTAAGCCATTTTATGATCTAAACCTCGCTACAGTGTTTGCCCTTGAGGTCTCACTAATTAATGATCTTAAGGGAAGAAAGAATGCAGGGACAAGGAGTTCCCTAGTGGCCTAGTGGTTAGGATTCTAGGCTTTCACGCCATAGCCCAGGTTCAATCCCTGGTTGGGGAACAGAGATCCCACGAGTCATACAGTGTGACCAAAGCGAAAAAAGAATTCAGGACCCAGTGATTCTTCTCAGGGAAGAGAAGTAACAATAGCAAAAATAATAAATCAGTTGTAAAGACTCCCAGTTCTGTTCCAGTGGTAAAGATAGCCTGAAGCACTCATCGACCAGATCAACTGGAACCTAAGAAATCATATTGACTTTTTGTGAGCCTCATGATTTCAATCAGCTAAAGCTTGGACTCTGTCGACCTATGTCCCGTTTCTGTGCTGAATTCTGTGCTCAAGCCCCATCGTTAATGTGCATGTCCCCTTAGTTTAAAACTTCCCTGATTTTGCCATTTAGGGAGACACTGCTCTGGGAAAGATCCCCAGTGTTCTCACCTGCCGCAAGTGATAAATTCTTCCTTCTTCTCACCTTTGGCTTGGTTGTGTCTTTTGGCTCAATACCACCTAGAGGAGAACCCAGTTTTGGGGTAACGCTATCATGGAGATACAGGCAAGGGTGATTATTTTTTCAGGAGAATTTGGGATTGAGGTAGGTCAAAGATTTTCCAGAAGTAAAACTTACACTGATCAAGCAGAGAAGGACAAGGAGGAAATTCAGCATAGGGGAACAGCATGAACAGTATTCCTGTGATATGAATGTAGAATTTGCTCTGGAAGAAGCCATTGGGTTCAGAGCACTTATCCGGTCCTAAAATGTGGTGGACAGTAGGCTGGCTCTGTAGACTCAGGACAGTCATAAGCAGGCCAGGCAGGTCAGTTTGAATAGTTTGGGTGGGAGGACTCCGAAGTTAGTTTGTTTTGTATGTGAAGTTTTTGTTTATTTTTGAAGCAAGGATATTAGTTCTTTTTTTTTTTTTTTTTTTTAAGGGAGGTTGGTAGTGTGGAGGCTAAAACTAAAATAGGAAGAGACCAAAGGCTGGGAAACAAATCAGGAAGCTTTTGGACTAGTCTAGGAAATGGCTGCTAACACAGAATGAGGTAGTGGCTGTAGGGATGGCAGGAGATAATGAGGAAATTAAAAGAACTTCAGAGTAAGTCAGTAGGACTTAGTGACCCTTTTGGAATGGAACTGAGTGAACCGTCAAATATGAGAATTTTCACTTGCATGCCTGGATAGATGGTGGGTGCTGAGATTAGGGATACAGAAGGAACCAGTTTCAAAGAAAAGATAATGAGTTCAGTTTTGACTGTTGAACTTGGGGTGTCTTGGGCTTCCCTGGTAGCTCAGATGGTAAAGAATCTGCCTGCAGTGCAGGAGAACTGGGTTCAGTCCCTGGGCTGGGAAGATCCCCTGGAGAAGGGAATGGTTACCCACTCTAGGACTTTTGCCTGGGAAATCCCATGGACACAGGAGCCCGGTGGGCTACAGTCCATGGCATTGCAAGGAGTTGGACATGATTGAGTGACTAACAAACACTTTCACATGGGCTGCCTAGGGAGATGCTTCACCTGGTGGTAGGATGTATAGGTTGGAACCTGAGGTGGGAGGAAAGGGCAGAGGTCAGGAGTCACGGTACAGGCAGGGTTAAAGCCGTGAGGAGGGGTGAGTCACACTGGGAGAGTGTCAAGAGGGTTGAGGACAGAGCTCTGGAGAACATCAATATTTAAGAGGAAGGCAAAGAAAGAAGGTCCAGCAAAGGAAACTGAGAAACAGCAGTCAGAGAAGTGGGAGGAGAGCCAGATGGGAGCTGCCTGCTGGAAGCTGAGAGACAGGCCGGCCGTGAGGGGTGGGATGCCAGAGGGCTCAGGTGCTGCAGAAACAGGCGTGGTGAGCACGCAAAACAGACCTTTGAGTTTGCGATCAGTAGATCATCAGAACTCAAGTGAGATCATTTCACTTAGATGCTGGGAGCAAAGCTTTTTCATAGTTTGAGAGTACAGAGACGGTACAGTGCCTCTTCAGAGAGGCTGGTGTTGAAAACAATGGGAGACGAGCTCAAAAGAACACCTTTTAAAGATGGGAGATACTTGAACATTTTTATAGACTGAGGGAAAGATGTAGAAGAAAAGTAGATGGTGGAGACTGGGGACGTGGGTTATAAATGGAGGTAGTTCTGGGGGACTGGCTATGGACAGAGCAGGCGCACCACTTCCTCTGGAGATGGAAGAGGAGGAGGGAAGATGTGCTCTTACGGGTGAATTTAGTAGAGAAGGATGACATTTGAAAGGGTTAGTACAAATGTCCAGTTTCTCTGAAACTGGAGGCAAGGCCATCTGCTTCGAGGAGGTAAGAGTGAGGTGGACAGGCTGAGAAAAGTGGTGAAGGCTGAGAACACCCACTCCAGGAAAGGATGCTGGCTTTGGGCAGTATTGGGGTCTCACCCAAAGTCAGAGACAGGAAGTGAGAGCAGCAGTTTCAGCTCCAGCCGCACAGTTGTATCGCTCAGAGCTTTTATGAACATACCATTCCCCAAGCCTCGCCCCCAAAGATGGCGTTTCAGTTGGTCTGGAGTAAGGTCTGAGCACCTAAATCTTAAAACCCTCCAAGTGAATCTGATATGCAGTCAGGGTTCACTGGATTGGAGACAGCATGATGATGAGGACTTTCTTCTTAAGCTCTGCTTAGCAGCCTGGGAATAGGAACAGGAAGGTGGCTGCTGGGATCGATGAAGCTGGTGGGATTGGCTGGGACAAAGCAGTAGCGAGACTCCAGTGAGCGCAAGGGCGGGAGCACTGTGGACGGGGCAGCTTGCAGACTTGCCGTCGCTGCATCTGAGGCACAAGGAGGAGACAAGCTTCTGGGTTTCTGGTTTGCCTTGATGGGCTTTGCTGAGGGATTCAGGAGGAGGGTATGACTGGAGGGAGAGAGAGAGTGTGTTACGACGGGAAAGAGCATGGGCCTCTCCCCAGGCAGCCCGGCCTCTGTCAGGGGCAGCTTTGTGACAGTGGGCAGGTGGCTGTATCTCTCCAAACCTGTCCTTCACCTGTAAAAATTCTAGCAGCCGTTTTGAAGGCTTGGTGAAGATTACATAAGATAATGTTTAAGTAGTCCCTCCCTAACACATAATGAGTTAGTAATTATTATCAGTCTATTTCGAAACATGTTGGGTTTGAGATGTCTATGGTAGATTTGGTGTAAATACTCCAGCAAGCATTTGTAGGTATAGGTTTGGTCACTCAGGAGAGACTTGGGGAGAGGAGATAAAGCTTTGAGGGTTGTTTGTGTGTAGATGGAAATGGAAACTGTAAGCGTGAACTAGGTCACTAGGAAAATGTGGGAAACGGCCACATCTTTTTAAATCAGTTTTCACTGGAGTGTCGTCGTTTCTCAGTGTTGACTCAGTTTCTGCTGAGCAGCGGTGAATCAGTTACACATAAGCCCATATCCACTCTTTTCTTTAACTAGTTCATTTTTAATTTGAGGATAATTTTAAGATATTGTGTTGGTTTCTGCCATGCATCAACATGAATCAGCCACAGGCATACACATGTCCCCTCCCTCTCACACCTCCTTCCCACGTCCCGCCTCACCCCGCTCCTCTAGGTAGTCAGAGTCCACTCGTTTTTAGATTTCCTCCTGTTTAGTTCTCCAGAGAGCATTGCGTGGAGTCCCCTTGGTATACAGTAGGTGCTCACTAATCATCTGTTTTTCATGTAGCATGAGAGATGACCACAGATCTTATGGGAAAGATTTGTTTCTTGATTCTGGAGCTTATGATACCCCATTTTTAGCCTCACTACGCAGTGAAGTCTTTTAGGAAAGGACTTCCCAAACTTTCATGTCAGTCCACACATAGAAGATGATACTGTTTCTATGACACTTTGAGATAAATACACACAGTTGGGATTACACTAAACGAAGCTGGTCCAGGCCCTCAGTTATGAGACTACATGGAATCACAAAGCAGGCTGCCAAAAATGGAGGCCAAGGCCTAGTGAATAGATTCCATGCCACCCAGAAGTGAGCTCAGACGCTGTCTACCTTGGACAGAAGTTGACAGTCAGCGAGCAAACAGATCTGGACCTAGAATAACATAGTCTTGTACCAGCCACACCATCGTGTCAGACTTTTCTTGTTGCTGCCATGGTAGTTATCATTTTGGCCATGTTTTGACCTGCGGATAATGCTTTGATACCATGCAGCAGTTTACGTTTTAGAATACACTGTGGTTTGTGTTATAGATAATCTGGGCACAAACCCAACAGCACTATACTCTTAGCTGTTAAAAGGCTGACAGCAGGCTGTACCCAAAACTAAATCCCTGTGTTTCTGACCTCCAGTTACCTTTTGGAATAGGTTGTCTTGTTAATTAGGGCAGCTTAGGGCTTTTCTAAAAGCATAGTCTTTGGAGTCAGGCATATCAGGGTTGGGATCTGGCTCTGCCATAATTAACTGTGTGACCTTGGGCAAGCTACTTAACCCCTCTGAGCCCCAGTGTTGTCCTCTGTAAAATGGAGGTGATGCTGGGCAACCCCTTTCTCACTCTGACTTGCTGTGAGAGAATGTGTGTAGTACTTAGCACAGTGTCTGGCACATACAGAAGGTACTTAGCAAGTGGTAGCTACTGCTATCCAGTTGACAGCTTCAGCCCATTCATACTGTTGCATGTCTTCGCAGCACCAAGATGGTATTTTTTGTTCAGAATGAGCCTCCTCACCAGATCTTCAAAGGCCATGAGGTGGCAGCGATGCTCAAGAGTGAGCTGCAGAAGCAAAAGGCAGACTTTCTGATATTCAGAGCCCTGGAAATCAGTACTGTCAGTGAGTAATTGTGGGGAGTTGGGAATGAGAGCCTGCCCAGCGCCCACAGCTCACCTGTCATCCCTGCTGTCCTGGGGCTTCATGTTGGTCCTCTGGGAATAAGGAAATAGTCACTTTCTTCCACTACCATCATCATGAAAGAGTCCCAACTCATCGCAGAGCTTCTTCCCCTGGGGTCCCTGGGCCCCTGAGACAGCGTTCAGAAGGGCTGTGAATTCAAATGGGGGAAAAAAATTAACTATGTCTTTGTTTTCATGAGCCTCTGACTGAAATTTACTCTTTTCCTCAATCACAAACTACTGTAGTATTAAGAGAACATGCGACTTTAAAGCAATAGAAATTCAGATAGTTTTGTTTCATACCACTTGATGAAATAGCATTTTTTATTTATCACTACTTCAAAATTATAACAGTTGTCAGACACTGTTATAATCTTATTAATATTTTAATAAAGACATATTATCTTTAAAGTTTTATATTCTTAAATTCTTCAAAAACATGTTTAGTATAATCGCCTTCCTCTATAATACTATGTCTTTTATCTTGGCAATTAATTATTCTGAGAAGAAGGTCTGTGGGACATGAACGATTAAGAACTGCTGATATGGAAAACAGCAAGTAAAAACAGTCTGGAGCCTTTCTGACTGCTCCAGTTGTATCCAGCCATGATGATGATCTGGGGGTCCCGTCCCGTTTTCATGGGCCCCGGAAGGCGGTCATCTTCCAGCTCTGACTCCTGTGGCCCTGCTTCCCTCTCCTGTACTTGCAGCATGCCAGTTGAACTGCTCTGACCATGGCCACTGTGATTCATTCACCAAACGCTGTGTCTGTGACCCCTTTTGGATGGAGAATTTCATCAAGGTGCAGCTGAGGGATGGAGACAGCAACTGTGGTGAGCTTCCTGCTTTGACTGTGCCAGCTGGTTTGGCATTGACTGTGGCTCTGAGTTGAGTGGGCGGCTGTTGGTGTTTCCAAGGCAGATGAGCAAGCAGGGAGAAGAACTTTGTGTATTTGCTGTTTGCAGAGGACTTAATACTTCCTTCCTCCGCACTTGTTCAAGGTTAGAGGAAAGCTCTGAAGCAGTTTTTCGTGGTTTTCTTTTGTTGTTGTTTTTTGGCCAGGCCTTATGGCTTGTTGGATCTTTCTTTCTTTGTTGCCTGACCAGGGATTGAACCCAGGCCCCAGCAGTGAAAGTGCCAAGTCCTAACCACTAGACCTCCAGGGAATTCCCCTAAAACAGTTGTTTTAAACGAAATAAAGCTTAAATCAGACCAACCACAAAACGCAGCATAAATGAGACCAGCTGTACGGCCTCCTGCCCTTTCCGAGGGCCTGTGTGCTCTCGCCCACGGAAGCCCGTAGATTTCCACTCCCCTCTTTTCCTCTGTTGAAGCTCACTGCAGCCTGCCCCGCTGCCCCAGGGTCTCAGAGCCAAGCTAGGAAACCGTGTCAGATTTCAGCTGCTTTTATCTCTAAGGTCGCATCTTCCCTGGGGAGCCCTGGGGACCATTTCGTCTCGCCCACGCTGGGCAGCCCAGACCTCCCTTCTAGCCTCTCCCCACCACCCTTACTATTTTGTTTTTCTTGGCAGAGTGGAGCGTGTTATATGTTATCATTGCTTCCTTTCTCATTGTTGTTGGCTTGGGGATCCTGTCTTGGACTGTAATCTGTTGTTGTAAGAGGTAAGATGCACTTGCCCTGTAAATTTGTTCAGGCTCCTAATTACATGTTTGCTCATTGGAGAGGTATCTGGCCCTTCTGCATGGGGGCGCTGAGTCCTGGGTTTTTTCCCTTACCGTCGCTGTTACATGCCCACCCACAGCATGCACAAAAAAGCTCTCCTTACCTTCTGACGCTCCTAAGGGGGTGAGTGGCTGTCCTGGATGGCCTGGGGCATCGGCCTGGCTTACATCTGTCTCTAGGGTTTGTGAGCTTTAGTACTCCACACCTCAGCCTCACCACTGTTCCCCGAGAATTCTTAATTTGTCTGCCTCCCCTTCAATTTGAGAGTCATGTGTGTGTATGTTTTCTTGTAATTATAGACTTAGGTTAGTCATGATAAAGTCTTTCAGGTTTTTTTCGTTTAGTCTTCCTATCGAGTCTTATAATATTTGAGAATGATATTTATTATTTTTCTCATTATTAATAATAGGTGTCAATTCTGTGTTTACTGTGTGCCAAGTACCATGATGACATTTTATAGGTAATATCTTTTTTAATAGGCATAACAGCCTTTGCTCAGGAAAATGATACCATCCATCCAAGGGCACACAGTTAATAAGTTACAGAGCTGAAGTGCAACCTGCGATATAACCTCAGAATAAAACTTAGCAATAAAAAATCTAAAAAATACTCCCACCAGTCCAGGACAACCACCGTTGACAACATTGCTGGTTTAAGCTTTCCTCCACCTTCCACCCTTCAAGGATAGGGGTTTCATTTTATTTACATTTTTAATCAATCTGTCTAAGATAATAATGTTTCCTTTACCTTTTCCCAAGTTGGTGAGGAATACTTGAATAACAGATCACAGTTTCTGCCTGTCCCAGCTGAGAAGTAAGGAGAAGCAGCTCTTCCCTTAAGCAGCATCCCTGGACCCAGGCCCCACATGCCATCTGGTTGTCCCCTGTGGGTGGCGACCTGAGCCTCACACAGACCCTCTTTCCTGAGCAGAGACAGGGATTGTGTTTTTCAGGCAAAAAGGAAAACCGAAGAGGAAAAGCAAGTACAAGATCCTGGATGCCACGGATCAGGAAAGCCTGGAACTGAAGCCAGCGTCCCGAGCGGGTATGTCGGGAACTCGGTGTGGAGCCACCCCGTGGTAGATGGGTGCACTCTACCCGAAGAGCCGCCACCATCCCCCGTCCCCCCCAGGCGTGTTGCCAACAGCTGTTTGTGCTGGAAAAGCATCTTGTTCCCTCCGTGATGAGGACCAGGGTCCGCTTTGCCCCGTGGGGGCAGAACCTGCCTGTTGGACAAGCTCGGCCTCCAGGGCCCACGCCTCAGTCATTTTCCCTTGCTGAGGGGGCTCGCCTCTTGCTCTCCTTGGCCTGCTCTTTCCCCTTAGCGTTTCTGCCGGGGGTTCAGCTTTTCAAGCTGCCCCTGAGGTTGAGCTCAAGGACCCGGGTCTCTTTTTCCTGATCAGGCTGTCCTTTCTGAGCAGACAGGATGAGGCTGTGAAGAGATCAAAGCCAGTGTCTGCCAGCTGGCCCTTTCCCGCCAGCCTCCTCTCCTGTTCTCTTCTCTCCTGCGTTTGTGAGGTAGATCCACAGGCCCCACGACTCTCAGAGCGGTGGAGGGCTGCTCCCCTGCTGGCCCGGGTGCACTGGGCTCGTCTGTCGAAGAATCTCCAGCTGCACAGGCACAGAGGCAGCTTCGGGGATGGGCTAGGAGGGCCAGGGCAGGTGTCTGAGCGCGCTCACTGGTGAGGTTCCCTTTCACCATGGAGGTCCTGGCGCAGGCCTTATCCTCGTGTGGGAGCTGGACTCTCTGTAGAGCTGTTCCCAAACACTCTGCAAGTAGAACTGGTTTTTTTTTTACAACGTGTTAGTTTAACATCTCTCATACTTAAAGCTTTGTATTAGAAAGGCTGTAAGGGGACTGTATAGAGAGTTCTAGGACATAGGCTCTGCTCTCAGAATTTCACTGTAGTGAGGGAGGAAAGACATATGAGATGAAAGTAAAAGCTCGTAGGCAGTCTGGCTGTCAGCACCCAGGCAGCTTGGTTCGGGAGCACGGTGGGGCAGTGTCTGGAGGTGGGGGCTGGTGAACCACAGAAGTACTGCCAGAGCGTCCCAGAGGGATCCTGAGGATGAAGGCCAGAGGGGAAAACGTTGCACAACACCCTCCACGAGGTAGCCAAAGTTGTGTTTGTTGCTGTGGCAAGGTTTCTCTACCCTTTGAAGTCCTTCGGCGACTTACTTTTGGTCTGGTAGATAGTGGCCTTGGTGAGCCTGCGTCCATGTGTTTTTCTGAGATCCTCCTCCTTGCTGATGTCTCTCTTTTCTAAACGATATTCATTGGTTCATATTTCTGTCCAGAAACTACTTTGTCATCCAACCTTTAACCTGCCAATTAAAAGTTGTACTCATCTTTCTCCCACGTGTTTGTTTTGGCATTTCTCTCACTGTATTATATCACTTATTTTATTGTTTGTCCCTTTCAGTTCAGTTCAGTCACTCAGTTGTGTCCGACTCTTTGCGACCCCATGAACCGCAGCACGCCAGGCCTCCCTGTCCATCACCAACTCCCGGAGTCCACCCAAACCCATGTCCATTGAGTCGGTGATGCCATCCAACCATCTCATCCTCTGTC